CTGCATGATTGAATCAATAAATGATTGGTTTTTTATTTTAATTAAGTTTGGAAGAAATGATCCTTTTCAAATTAATTTTTTTGGTAAAAAGTTAAATTTTATTTATTCTGAAATTCCTAGTTAGCAGCTCGGATTTAGAAATTAGAAGCAGCACGCTCTAAAGTAGGTCCGAGAAAATCGTTTATTGGAGGATGAAAGCAAATTGCATTGAATTAAACATAAGAAATTGCCCATATCCATCACTCATTTTACAATCAATTATGTAATTCATCTCAACGTATTTTGAATATTTTGTGAACGAAAAAAAATTAAATAAATGTCTTCAGTAAAAATATTGAATTAAAAAAATTAATCAACTAAATAATTATGTCAAGGTCCAGTCAAATTAAACAATTTTTAATTAACGTTGTTCATTTAAATTAATAATATTATTGTGAAATTATATGAAATCCTAAATAAAGTTATTTGATTGAAGTGATATTTAAAAAGTTATTAGACGAATGTTTGCAAATAATTTAAAATTCAATAGAACGCTTATAAATTGTTTTATGCAAATAAAAACTATGTAAATTATATACGTATGTATGAAATGTTAATAATTATGAAATTAGACATATTAAATAAACTTATATATTTAATCTTATATACTTAAAGTATTTTTATTTTTTCCAATTAACTCAAAAGATGTAAATCATTTATATATTAATTAGGGTTAATATGTAATTTAGATTCTACACTATAGGTCCAATGACAATTTAAACCCTAAATTTTAAAAATGTATATTATAAACACTAAACAATTAAAGTTAGAACGATTTCATCCCTACCGTTAACTTTCAACAAACATCCGTTAAATTTATTTAGAAAAAATTGCACTTTAGGCCTCAATTTGACGGATGTTTATTGAAAGATAACATTATGAGCTAAATTGCTCCAACTTTAATTGTTTAGGGTTTAGAATGCACTTTTTTAATAGTTTAGGGTTCAAATTATATATTAATTCGTGGTAATATTATAAATTTTTTAGGATATGAGAAAATGGAACAAAACAAGGTAAATGATAGTAATGATGATAATGGAACTATATAAAAGAACACTGTAAATTATAATAATGAGTAAAGCAGTTTTTGGTAGAGATTATAGTAGATATAAATGAAACAGTATCGAATTGACTATTTTTGTTCTTGTTAAGTGGGGTTTTGATAGGTTATCAGTGGCAGTAACATAATCTTTTGCTATAAGCACACTTTTATATTTTTTTTTCCTTATTTGTTCTTTAGCGTAATGGAATCTCATAATAATATCGGTGAGAGAAAAATATTATCATTCTTTGTTAAGGAAAAATTTAGAATAGATTCCTCTTCATACACTTTTTTCTCTGTCTCTTTATTTATCATAAAAGTATTTGGTTCTATTTTATAATTTTTTATATTCATTGATCAATTCAAACTAAAAAGCTTGCACATTCCTTCAAAATCTTTTTAAAAATTGATATAATATGCAAAATATATTTTTTTCCATTATCGTTGAATTATTATTGGTTGGAATGTATTTTTTAAAATACAAAAGAATTAATATACAATTTGGACCCTGAACTATAGGTTCAATGACGATTTAAATCCTAAAATTTTAAATAGATACATTCTAAACCTTAAACAATTAAAGTTGAGGCAATTTCGCCCCTATTGTTAACTTTCAACAAACTTTTGCTCAAATTAAGGCCTAAAGTGTAATTTTTTTTAAATGAATTTGATGGACATTTGTTGAAAATTAACAGTAATGATAAAATAGTCTCAACTTTAATTGTTTATGATTCAGAATGCACCTTTTTAAAATTTGAAATTTAAATTGCTCTTGGATTTATAATTCAAAATCTAAATTGTATATTAACCGTATTATTTATTATATAATAAATTATCATTATTAATAAACAATTGATAGCTAAAAAATGTTGCATATTTTCAAACATAACAACTCGAAATTGAAGGACTTATTGAACAAGAAAAAGGAAAAAAAAATGAAAATGAAGAACAATCTCCTCATTATGACGAAAAACAACAGCAAGACAACAACGCACCGACAAACACTTGTAGACAAGAAGACTTGAAAATAGTATGGCGATGGAGGGCACAGAGGCATTGTTGAAGAGAATGAATGGCGAAGAACTAACAAAAGAAGCAAAGAATGAAACACATTGAGGAATCATGTTTTCCAGGTTGAATCCAATTTGCTAAAAACCACCCGGCTCAACTCGGTCCAATTGGCTAAATAATCCAAATGGCTTGACCAAGCTGTTTTGCTGAGTGGGTGATGGTTGGACGGCCTGACTGCCTTGATCCAAAAAACAGTGCACCAAATGATAATAGAGAGTATTAACTAATGGAAAAAGTTTTAGTCTAAACCCTTTGATAAAACATAATGAAAAAGAGTGCCTTTAAAATTTAAAATTTTACTACAGACTAAAAGTAATGAAATGAAAGTAAAATACAAACTAAAATTACCTCATTATCCCTAGTAGCTTAAATCTGTTAAAAGACACATATAAATTCCCTATACTGAAGTGGTTAAATTTTCTATAAGAATTGTTTGTATACTTAGCATAGCTTTACTTAATTTTATTTTTAATGTTGTTATTATGATAAAAATAGTAGCAATTTCCCATGTTATAATTGTTCATTACCTACATTGAAGTAATTGTTTTTGCTACGACAATTATTTGTAGGGTGTGTTTGGATCTCAATTAGAAAAAAATGATTATAGAAAAAATTGATTATTGAAACGTGATGAAGTTTGGATAAATTTTTAGAAATTAATTTTTATAAATTGAATATATTTGGATAATTTTTTGAGAATCAATTTTGAATATGCAAATAAATGATACAAAGAAAAGGAGCCTAATGGAGTTTTGCAAATGAAAAAAATTTTAACTTATCTAAAATGAAGTTTTCCAAGCCAAATGGAGTTTTGTAAAATGAGAGTGTTTGAATAATTTTTTGCAAAATCATGATTTTGATTCTAGAATTGATTCCCAATGAATATCCAAACAAGCCCGTATACTGTGCACTTAGTTTCGATTGATTTTATTCTTAGTGCTGCTATTATAATAAAAATAGTTGCAAATTTATCATAATAAAATTGTTCATTTCTTATATTAAAATAGTTAATTTTTCTATAAGAGTTATAAATGCACTAAGTTATAAATTCTCAATACTAAAGTTTTTCATTTATCTACACATTTTGTTTATAGCTCTAACACGTGCACACAGACATGTTGGCACTACTCGTCATTCTCTTCTCATCCATCTTCTTCTTCCTATTTCTTATCTACAAAACTACAAGAACTAGAGCACCCTGTTTCTTCTCCCCAGCGCATCCACTCATTTCTTCCCATTCAATACTAATATGGAAGTCTTGCCAACAACCTCAGATATGGACTTTTGTCGCCAATGGTGATGCGTGTATTCAACATGTCTGCCCGACCCACATGCATTGTCTTTGTTGGCAGCAATAACAAAAACCTCGAGTGGCATGAAAGTCTCACTGGCGAGATGCAACAATTCGTCCAACTCAGCGACGGTGAGCACGAGCATTGTAGGTCCAACGGTAGTTAAGAAATTGACAATGGCACTTAGCCGGGGTTGGAAAGAGGGGAGGACTCCCATGGGCTATAACCTCCCTAATTTTTTAATTTTTTTAATAAAATATTAGAGTTATATATTTCCATCTCCCATAAATTGATACATTTCATAAATTATGAAATATTAAATAAAATTTTCATTTTAATTTTATATATAGTGTTTCACATATATATAGAATAACTATTTCAGTAGTTTAAAGATATGGTTGTCATAGTATTTACTTATTTTTAACAATATAATGTTATACATGTTTTTAAAGTATTAATATTATTTTATTTTACTTTTATTTTATATTTAATGAAAGAAATTATGAGAATTATTATTAACAAACTTTGTTAAGCATCGTAACAAAAAATCCTAAATATATTGAATACTATGTAGTTGATATCTATCATAAAATTACTCATTCAAAAGTTAAGAGGTTTGATGAAGATGTTTTTTTAAAAAAAATTACTTTTTTAATAATCAAGCTATCAAAATTTGTTATATGAATGATTTTTACTCTAATATAATTCGATTTTATTGACACAAAGATTTTATGATAATTGAGCATTATTAATGTGTTAATATATTTATTTACTATGATTATCAATTGAAAGAATTAAATAATAAATTTAATAAGAAAATAATAAATTTTATTGCATTAAACAAAACTTTATATTTCAATGACATATTTAAATCATTTAATGTTTATAAAGATAACAATATTTTTACCAATTTAATGATAGAAAGAAATTGCTAAAATATTTATCGAAAACATAATGATTAATAATTTTTATATAATAAAAAATTGATGAACGAAACTTAATATATATATATATATATATTATATGTGTAAAATTAAGTATAAATATATATATATATTAAAATATTTATATTATATTCGTAATATATATATATATAACTTCTTTATAATAATCATATTTATTTTATCATCTTGGCTCCCTTCACAAAAATTCCTGAATCCCTCCCTGCACTTAGCATTAACTGTAGTATGGTGGATTGATAGGATTAGAGCGTTAATTTTGTCATTTTATTCAATATTTTTAATTACATTTTACTATCCAGTAAAATTTTAGTTGTTAAGCAACTCCTTTTTTTTATGTTGTTTAGTCAATGGGTCTAGATTCAAATTGTCCCTAACTAATAAAAGGGGTTTTTTAAAAAAGCTGCAGTACGGGCTTCAAAGGCCCGTAGAGTCAATCAGCCAGCCATTCCACCTTTGGTGTTTGGAAAACGTTTCTTTCTGGAAAAGTTAAAAACTATAAATTGAAACGTTTTTTTTTTTTTGGCCTTTTTGGTTTTATATAATTTTAGGTTTCCCCCCACATACCCTGATTCAGTATTTAATATTTATGTCGCTACGCCGTTTAAATTTGATTTGATCGATTGATATTGTTCGAAGTTCGAACTGTAGTGTTCCGACTCTCAGATCAAGAGGTATCCTCCCCTCACTTCTAGGGTTTCAATGTATAGGTGTTTAAATAAATATATGCCTCTGTTTGAGTTTATTGTTATTAGAGTTCGCTGCGCCTTCTGTAATGGGGTTTCGACTTGGCTTACAATCCTTCAACTTCTTTTCGTTTCGTTTAAATTGATTCCGTTCGAAGTCTCTGTCATTGCGCTATGTCAGATCTGTTGCATTTTGGCAAAAGATTATATTTTTAAGCTCAAGTTGAGGGGTGAAGGAAATTATAATTTTTTTTGGATAAAAGATTCATGGAAATTAGTTATCTGTTTTCCATCCACGACTTTGTAGACTTTCTCCAAGTAAAAAATCTGGCATTTGTTGTTTTGTCTGCATCCTTGCTTTTATAGACCCCTCGCCCTTAGTATTTTTCTCATAAATTTTCATTCTAGCTTAACATGAAAATGTTAAATATTTTTCTATGCGACTTGCGCAGGGGAATTAGTGTTATCGTTTTTTTCTTTTTGGTACTCGAATTCGATCTTCTGCTTGCTATCTTTATAGGATGTAAGTTGGAAGGCATATATCAGAACAAAAATGTGGGGCAGGACAGGGCAAGGAAAAGTCAGATTTCTCCTCTCTTTTGGATATTTCATTGAGGAAGAGAATTTTAGAATGCTTATTAATCAATAATAAACTTATGCTATAGTTGTGTCTGAACCTGAACCTATGCACCTTACGTTGGCTGCTTATTTGTTATGTGTGTTTTCCCCTTGTATACTCTTCTTCTTGGTGGTAGTACCATTAACTGATCTCCACTGCTTTTTAGGGAAGGTAGCTCCTTTTACCTTCTACATTGTAGGGAATTCAATGGCCTATGATGTCCAACGAGTTCACATAATCCAGTTTTTGGCTGCAGTCATTTGTTACATTTTTATTCGTTTTTATAGGATGAGAATATGTTTTCATTCCTCTTGTTTAAGACTTTAAGTTTTGTAGCTTAGAAGGTTTACTTGTTTTGATATGATTGGTTATTATGATAACAGGTTATAACCGAAATGGAATGAAATAGCATTGTACTTTTTAACTGAAGTTGGTTTGGTTGATTTTACTTCTTCCTGATTTATAATATCTGTTTATCACTTAATTATTAAGGGGATTGTTTTGTGGATGGCGTAATTTATTGATGACTAAAGAGTTACACGTGTGCAGGATTAAATGCAAATATTCTGAAAATCTTGGAAAATTTGCTGTTGAACTTTGAACCGTATTATTCAAACCACAAAGTCTTAAGGTTGGAGTCAGGTTCAAATACATTTTATTGATGACTTAATTAGTTCATATGAATTAAATTACCATTATATCATTTCAAACAGAACAAATTATCATTGTGCCAGGATGTGGAAATTATTTTAATCTCTTTGACAATGCCTGATATTATATCAACAATAGATGTTCAGATTTTTTTTTTTTTAGTTTACAACCTTTTTCTTAACCATTTAACCTTGATGAACTAATTTTTTACTCTCTTTCTCCCTTTCTACAATATCACATGTATGGAAATAATATACATGAACACTGCTTGCAGGCATCATTGCAATGGATTCTACAGAAGTGAATTCACAGCGTAGAACATTTTCAATCAAATTATGGCCACCTAGTGAGAACACTAGACAGATGCTTGTGGAGCGGATGACCAACAATCTTACTACTAAATCTATTTTCACACAAAAATATGGAACTCTGAGCAAGGAAGAGGCTGAAGAGAATGCAAAAGGGATTGAGGACATGGCTTTTGTCGTAGCTGACCAACATTATGAGAAGGAGCCAGATGGTGATGGAGGCTCTGCTGTCCAGCTTTATGCCAAGGAATGTAGCAAGCTTATCCTGAATGTTCTTAAGAAAGGATCTAGTAATAAGGATAACAAAGAAGCAGTGACATCTGGTAATTTAGATGCACCTAGCGAATCTGTGAATGTAATAGATGCACCGCATGACTCTCAGAATGGAGATGCACCTAGTGAATCTGTGAATGTAATAGATGCACCTCGTGAAGTTGTGGGTGGAGATGCGCCTAGTGAATTTGTGGGAGGAGATGCACCTAGTGAATCTCTGAATGGAGATGCACCTAGTCAATCTGTGTTCGATATATCTAAAGGACAACGAACCTTCATTGAAGCCAAGGAGGCTCAGGAACTCTTAAAGCCCTTACAGGAGCTAGGAAATTCATTCACAAAAATATGTTTCAGCAACATAAGTTTTGGATTAGAAGCAGCAAAAGTTGCTGAGCCTATTCTCGTTTCTGTGAAGGAGCAGTTGAAAGAAGTAGATCTATCAGATTTTATTGCTGGAAGATCTGAGGAAGAAGCTCTTGAAGTCATGAAAATATTCTCGGCTGCTCTAGAGGGTAGTTTCTTGAAGTATTTAAACCTCTCTGAGAATGCCTTGGGTGAGAAAGGTGTGAGGGCTTTTGGAGCACTTCTGAAATCTCAAACCTGCCTGGAGGAACTTTATTTGATTAATGATGGCATTTCAGAGGATGCTGCTCGAGCAGTTTGTGAATTGATTCCCTCCACAGAGAAGCTTAGTGTTCTTCATTTTCACAATAATATGACCGGAGATGAAGGAGCAGTAGCTATAGCTGAGATTGTGAAGCGTTCTCCTTCATTGCAGAACTTCCGTTGCTCCTCTACGAGGATAGGCTGTAAAGGTGGAGTAGCCTTGTGCAATTCTCTCGGGAGTTGTGCCCATCTGACGAAGCTTGATTTGCAAGACAACATGTTTGGTGTAGAAGTTGGCGTTTCTCTGAGTAAAGCTCTTACCAATCACGCAGAACTGAGAGAGGTGTATCTGAGCTACCTAAACTTGGAAGATGAGGGTGCAATTGCCATAGTTAATGCTCTTAAGGATTCAGCTCCGTGCCTTGAGGTTCTGGAGATGAATGGAAATGACATGACAGTTAAAGCTGCTCCTGCAGTAGCAGCATGCATGGAGGCAAAGCAGTTCCTTGCCAACTTGATTCTGGCCGAGAATGAACTCAAAGATGAAGGTGCCATCCAGATTAGCAGGGCAATAGAAGGCCATGCCCACTTGAAGAAAATTGATCTGAGCTCCAATAAAATAAGAAGGGCAGGGGCTCGTCAATTGGCTCAGGCTGTTGTGCAGAAGACTGATTTTAAGTTGCTGAACATTAATGGAAACTTCATTTCTGAAGAAGGGATTGATGAGGTGAAGAATTTGTTCAAGAAATGTCCTGAGATGCTTGGTCCTTTGGATGATAATGAACCTGATGGAATCGATGACGATGACGAAGAATGTGATGAGGAAGACAATGAGAATGAACTGGAACCCAAAATGAAGAACCTTGAAGTTAGTTAAGAGCCAAGTAGTGATCTAGCTGATTCAAGTGGTCCATTATTAGGTTCTGCTATTTAGGTAACTTAATTGGGTATCTGGACCATTTTGGTCCGACAATAGTTAGTAGAACCCTTAAGATGCATTATTGGGATAGCAATTTGAGGGCGCATGTCTGTAGTTTAGGTACGGTCATTTTAATGGCCATCTGTTTGCTTTTCACTTGATGTGGTAGTATTTGCTGTAGGAATCAGACCACTTTAATTTAGTAGTTTGTTGTAATCTATTCTGTTTGATTAATTTTTTATTGTCCTTTCTTCTGCTTTTAGAAGAATGGTAAAGTCAGACAGAACCAACAACTGTTTGATTTGTCTAACTTTTGTAGTGTTTGGGTTTCGATTGAAGGATGAAATGAGATTCTGAGAAGTGGGTATGGAGGATTTAACTTTTAATATATTTTATTAAAATTAAAAAAAATTAAATTTGATTAATTTTGTCTTGAAATTTAATAAGTTTCCACCTTAAGTAAAGGCCAAAAATAATTTTTTTTTAATAATTTTTTAGCATTTAATAAGGGTATAAATGTAAAAATAGACATAAAAAATAGTGAAATGCCTTATAAATAGGATTAAAATTATTTTTTTTCTCTCTCCCAAAATAAGAGCAGAGGAGTAGAACCATATCCAAAAATTATATGTCCAGAAGAGCAAGCCTCGAATGCAGAGAGCGAATTTATGTGCAGAAAGTGTTGTAGGTTTTCACCATTGCAAAAGATTTCCACAAAACAATAAGTTTTTTCCCCTTTTGTTGAATTTGCAAACTTGAATCTCTCATGTGGATAGCTGAATCTGAATACTTAGAGATAGATATCTACAAGTCTCTAATCGAAGGAACATATTACTGATTGAAATTCCAGTTGCCTGTTATTTTCAAGAATTTTATTTCTTAAATTTTTTGAATGAGTTGCTCAATTGAGACACATTTTCCAGTGTGAAAAAGTATATTTTTCTTGTGCCAAATTTTATTGGTAAGGGTAAAAATACCCTTAAGCAATTTTTTTTTTTGGTTCTAAAATAAAACTTTTAAATTTGAAGGATTTAGTAATGAGTCTTAGCTTGGACATGATAGTAGATTGAATAGATAAACTACCAGATCAAGGAGCTTTGGAGAAAAGGCAATTACAGAAAACATGATCAATGGTTTCTTGCTCATCACATCCCAAAACAAAAAGATTAGAACAATTAAGGTGATGAGCCTTAGCTATATCACCTGTTGGAATTGCATTATAAATCAACGTTCAAGCAAAAAGCAAAGTTTTGTGTGGTAGTTGTAGGTTCTATAGAAAGTTCCAAATGTTTTCATTAGTATAAGAGCTGCTAGAATTGCCAGTAGAGAGCTTTAAGAAACCTTTTTTTTTTTTCTTTTTACTGTGTAAAATCAATAAAGGATAGAGGAGTATTAGGTATAGACTTAGCACCTCATCATACAATTTAGTAACAACATAAAAAAAGCATAAAAATGGTGATGCCTGCTGGTGTGCCAGTGTGGTGTTTGTTTTCCCACAGGGCAAAAAAGGAAAAAAAAAACATTTCTACAATAATAATAATAATAATTATTATTATTATTAGTACTATTACTACTATTACTATTTCTACTACCAACACCACTATCACTAGTACGGGTAAGTGAATAAATTATTTCTTAAATTTTAAGTTTAGTAGCACTATAAATGGTTATTAAGTTTAACAATGGTTATCTCTTCACTTCCAAAAGTCAATGCCCTTGTCCATCATATTAACCATCTTTTAAATAAATTTTTAAGTTATCAATTTTCAAGGGTGGCTCTATTTAATTCAATTAAGCTACTATTTAGTTTCTTTTAATTTTTTGTCTTAACTTTAACCACGATTCTTTTCTTTTCTTTTCTTTTTTAGTTAATATATTTGATCTTTTTTAACCAAAAAAAAAACCTGCTTACCGAAATGGTGGGCTCAATAAATCTAAACCATTTAATTCCAATATATATCTTCATTTTCAAGATTCTAATTCTAATATTTTAATTTGAAAAAATAAAAAAATGGAAAAAGGTGTTATTAAAATAAAATAGGGAAAACTAATCCATAGGTCCTTATAGTTTTCTTCAATTTTAAATTAAGTCCCTATAATTTATTTTGTTTTAATTAAGCTCTTATAATTTGATTTATTAAGTATGTTAAAAGGTTAAAATTAATAATCAATTATTAATTTTCCCAAACAAAATTTTTTTTGAAGTTTATAGAAATTTAATTTAATACGTTTATCTAAAATAAAAAAAAATTTATACATCGTTTACAATTTTATTAATTTTTATGAAAATTTTATAAATATAAAATATATTTAAAAGACAACCTAATTATGTAAATTTTGGGTTATAAAAATTGTGTGATTATTTCTAAAGTTATATAATCATTTAGCAAAAATATAACAGTTTTTAATTTTGTTTTCAGAAAAATTCAAGAATTTCAATTTTAAAAATTAAAAAAATCTAATTAATCAAAATGTAATGATTTAATTCAAAATTTAAAAAAATTATAATAATTTATTTATATATTTTTCCAATAAAATATTAAAATAAAATAATAAAAAAGAAATAAGGGATAAATGTACAAATTTCATTATATACTATTTTTTTAGAAATATCTGATACCCTAAACTATCAAGTGATACAAAATAAATTATGAACTTTTAAAAATGAAGCATTCAGTAGCCCTTTGGTAGCTTCAATTGACAAACATTATGTGAGACCTACAATGACACGTAACACTCCACAAGCATTCCACGTCAGTATGTGTAAAGGTGTAAATTTAATTACGAATTATTTTTTGAGGAGCACTAAATAGCCTCTGTTATAAAAAAAATAAATTATTCAACACATTTCCTTCAATTTTGACCAAACACAGTTTATTTTCATGCTTATGAAGCCCACAATGCATTAATTTCTTTAATCTTCTTGCTTTTATTTTTAGTGTCAGCTCGAAAAAAAAGAGGTTTGAAGAGTTTCTATCTAAAGACATTTGTAAGGTCTCCTTTACTAATTCACAATTAATTCAAAAAGTTGAGATAATAATAGGAATAACCCATATGAATTACCAAGTTTGTAAAATTTATATAAATGGAATACCATGTTTTCAAAATTTGAAATACTATAAAATCATTTAAAGAAAATTAAAATCAAAGCAAAACATGTATACAAAAACATGGGTATTATACAAGGTAGGAGAAGATCAAATTAGGGTCAAAATAGTAAAAAAAAACTAATTCTAGCACAATTACGCTACACTATAAAATTTTATACTACGGCATAAATGGCAGAACCCTGTCATGGTAGATTTCTTAGACAAATTTTTGACATGCACCAAATCTTTGTCCGATATTCGATTAAAGTAATTTAGGTGTTTATAGAAAGCTTTCTCTAAGCGCTAGCTAATGGCACTAGCTTCACATTCAAATCATGTCTCAATCAAAAGTTGCACACAAAAAGAAAACTAACTCTTTTATACTTTCAAAGCATAACTAAGGTTTCCAAAACGTAATTCAAGTACCCAAAGCCCACTTCAACCTTGAGACCACACTCAATAGACTCTAACGGACTTGTACAATACACCACAATATTTCAAACAATACCTATATCACAATTTCACAGCTCAACCCCTTGATCACAAAAACATGAAGGGGAGCCAAAATATGTAGTTCCACATCTAAATTACCATCATTCACAAATATACTCAATTCTTACTTGCACAAGTATTTTAGCCTTGCAAAAATATCTCAACTAAAAAAAGATATTACATGCACTAAGACCCAAAATACATATTTCAGTACTCAATATTCAATGGTGCAAGTATAACAAAATATGAACATCCTAACTGGTAATATTATAACAATTACACATTAATTAAAAGTAATTGAAACGTTGCAGTAGGAAATTTAGTTCTTAAACCTCATATGCCTTTCCCTTATCTCGACCAGAGCTAGTGCCTATAATATGTTAAATAGAGGAGTAAGTACAATCACTCAGTAATCAAGGTTAATATAGCCTATACAGTTGTATATCAATTAATTATAAATGCAAATGGAAATTAAACAACTTCACAAGCATCACATACATATTTTACAATTATAATCTTGGCCACAAAACTAACAACTATGTGATTGGGTACTAATACATATTGTTGTATTTTTTTTTCAAAAATGCATATCTTAGAGTCACAATAATAACAATCATATGCTTATAATGAAAATACATTGGACCACAATAATAACAACCATGTGGCCAAAAGTAGAATGCATGATCAATGCCAACCTTATTCTCTCCTGATACCTCCGACATGAAACTGGTGACTATTTAAAGGCTATGTTCAAAACTCAAACTAACCAAGTCTTCTACTCATGAGAAGCTACCAGGCCAAAGTTAAATCACTCACTTGTATGCAGTTTCTCTCAATACTAACAATTGTGAGGTATCCTACCCCTAATCTAACCTCCTTATAAATCGGTGGAGACTAGTTAGATTTGAGTCCTTCAAAAAATAAGTGGGACAGTCCTAAGTCAATCATGGGATAATGGCCACCTCCTAATTCCAACAGTCGGTGCCAAGATAAATTTTTAATTCCAACAGTAAGCCGTCATTATTACATGGGTTTGCCAATCTACTACTCCCTATAAAAGAACTTTTGCTATAATGATCATGTCATACATAAATAACAAGATGTATACCATTAAAACAACAGTAATCACATCATATTATACCCACATAATCCTCTTTCTCCACTATAATCTACATAACACAATCATATTTATCATACTCTACATGTCAAATATTACATGTTCATCGGTTTCACAATTACATACTTTCATTCATCAATAATCACATGAATATACGTATGTAACATTCTCAATAATTCAATATAATCCCACACACATAATTCATCATGTTGCCAACATTACATCAATGGGTTCTCAACTATCCAAATAAACTTTCAAATGAATTAATTCAACTAATAAATAATTAACATACAATTATACAACAAGATTTTTTTCCAATTACCTCAAACCTTTGAGAGTTTAAAAGTTATCCCTCAATCACAACTTGTTTTTCCAAGTTAAATTCAAGTTCACCGGTGCTTCGTGAGGTTAGTCTACAATTACATTAACATCCATCATAATAATCATCAAAATCACTACTTTCACCATCTAATTTCATACTTTAATAATAAAATTTCTCAATTACAAGACCAACCTCACATCCAATGAGTTCATTAACTTCCATTAACTTTGTTTAGTTCTTAACAACTTAAACAATCATTAATATATCATCTAACAACCCAAAATCATCATCAATGTCATAAATTACTCACTTTTAACTCTCAAATTTAAATACTTTAATCACCCAAAACTCTCGACCCTTGAATTTAATCACCATATTAGGTTTATTAGCTCCTATTAGCTCAAACTAACATTAACACAATCCTTAATCAACATCAATGGCAGCCAACTATCTTAATCACTACCATTTATGGCACTTTAGGGTATAATTTTGTCCATAATTAAGAGTCCAATGTCATGGATGCATAAAACTACTATATTTAGTCTTATATAATAACTCAAACAACTCCATTAGTCTCATTTAGACCAATGGATTTGGACTCATAGCCCTAAGTCTGAAAATCATCATCTCCCAACCTCAAATCTCACTTCCAAAATGTATAGAAAAAAGAATAAGAGAAAAGGAAGGCATATCTAGGTGAAATCAAGCTCCAATCACCTTAAAATTTCCAAAAGTTGATGCCTTAGCAGAGCAACCATTCTCTCCGTCACCTCCCCTCTGGTTATGGTGTTTTCGTCTGTTTTTATGTTTTTTAAAAAGATTGATCTTGGGAATTATGCTGTGTAACACACCAAAATTTTTTTTTTTTAAATAATTTAACTCAACCATAGTTGGGTTACAGCCACCCAACACATTTTTATATCAATAATTTCAATATAAAATATTTTATAATTAACATTTCAGATAAATTTTTACCTCCCACATGCCATTAGGCTAAATCACATTTGTCCATCCTTATACTCCCAACAAGTAAACTAAATCACATTAGTCCATCCTTATACTCCCAACAAGTAAAATAAGCAATTTAATAAATTTTCAACACAAACCAGTTATTTGGCCTTATAATCATGCCATTTTAACCAATCTAAAGTAAACCAAATATTAAAATTACAGTCATCCAAATTGTACTAAAAATAGAAATAGTTTGAAAGGCATGATTACATTTATATATTCATATAATTGACAATAAACAAAAAGCCCTAATATTGGCAATATAACACATTATAAATCATAAATTAAATACCCAAAAGAGACAGTGGATCTATACCACTAAGCCTCTGGGACTCCTCCACGTGTCACTCGTGGCTCTTCTCCTGAAAATTGTTAACCACATAATGAGACTCAAAAGTCCCAGTAACCAAAGCCAATTTATGATAGTGTATACAAACAGTTAAGTGTGTGCTTACTAAGTGAGAATTAAAAATAATATAATTCCAACAAATATAAGAAATATTACAATACACACAAACAACCATCCTTATATCCCTCCATTAACCTCGAGCCGTAGCCCTCACTCGGTGCTAAATTACCCGGCCAAAGGTAGATTAGCCCGAGCCCTTACAAACCACCTATTGAGCTCCAATAGGGGCATACCACGTGGCACATAAATACAACAATAATAGCAAGTCTCCCAACACCTCCCACAATAAATAAACAAATTCATAATAATATTGCACAATTATACAATATTACAAAATTCATAATTTTCTCAATAATCACCCAATTAACATGAAGTAACACTAATCACAAATTAAAAGCATGGTTACCTTGTGGCTTTTTCAATAAATTATTCCTTAAAATTTCTCTCTCACCACAATCTTCACCAGTAATACAATCTACAAATAACATATTATTTATAAATATTAGTTTCAATTTTTGAAACTAATAAAATAATTCTAATAATAGAATTAAAAATATAACATAATTCCTAATCTCAATCTTAATACAAATCTATAGTTAATACTATTAAGTAAAATTTTTAACTCCTCTTTTAATTATCAATAAACATTAATAATCTAAAAATCAACTTCAAAATTAATTTCTATTATCAAAATTTTCTTTTTATTTTATAAATTCGCACCTAAAATACTCAAAAATTAAAAATTAAGTCTCTAGTTTAGAATCATAATCCTATAACCATAATAATTCATTTCTCATCCCAAATAATCATCTAAACCTCAATAAATCAACATATATTTTCAGATCTAATTTAAAATTTGATCCATAAGCCACAGATTCAAAGATCATCAATAAATTTATACTCTAGAACATTTATTATACTACTGACAACCTCAAAAATCATATTTATTCAACATAAATTCATCCCTCTTCCAGATCTTAAATTTTCTACTACTACAAAATCAGAAACCAAAGAAGAAAGATGACTAAGAAAAATTTTTAGAACACTTACTTAGTCTTGAAAAGCTTAAAATCACACCCTAAATATCCTATTAAAAACTCTTACCTTAAAAATTTAGATATTTCGCACCGGCAACTCGCTTCTCTCTGCCTCAGCTCGCGCGCAGGAAAGGAATTGAAGAAATGAAAGGAAACGGGTGAGTTTTATAAAAATTCAGTGGGTCCCACATTTTTTTTTAATTATTTTCTCTCTCTTCTTCTTCTTTTCTTTTTATTATTATTTTATTATTGTTACTGTTGAGGCGGCGGACGAAGCAAATTCGTTTTCTTCTTCTTCTTCCTTTCTTTTCCTTTCTTTCTTTTTATTATTATAATAATAATAATTTAATAATATTTTATTTTTTTATTTATTATTATTTTTTTATTTATTTTTATTTATTTTTTTTATTTTTTTTTGCATACCTTTTTTTTATAATAATAATTTAATAATACTTTTTAAAATTTTTATTAACTCAAATTAACTATTAAAATTTAAATTGGGATGTTACATGCTGCAACATACATTTTTATGTTACAGCATAATACATTGGGCCAAAATTCATTTTTTTCTATAATTTGAGCCCAGGTGACCTAATTCATTTTCAAATCTAATCGAAAAGTTAAGGCTAAATCCAATAGCCATCTCTAACTATACTCGAATCTTTCATTAGCTTAATTAATCAAGGAAATAATTTTCAGGATGTTACAACAGTTACGAGGACAATGTCAATAAAGTATAAGCTTGATTTTACTATTCGCGAGAGAAGTTTGATTCTATCTTAAGTCAATGAAGTATAAACTTGATTTTACTATTCTAGGAATTATTTCTTCTATTTTGTTGGCATCATTTTCATAAATATCTTCAGATAAAAACTCGTTGAACCTTTTCTTTCTGAGAAAAAAGGCAAGAATATTATAGAGATTGATACATTATGGGTTTCATAAGTTTAAAAATAAATGGTGTTTGGTCACAATTGATAGGTGGTGTTGGATGGTCCTTTTTTCATAGTAGAGACTACTTAATGCTCTTCAAAAAATAATTCGGGACTAAATTTATACTTTCACACATGTTAATGTGAAGTACCTGTAGAGTGTCATGTATCATTATAAGTTTCACATAACATCTGTCAATTAAAATTAATGATAGGTGATAGTTTAAACTATCAAATATTTTTTTAAAAATAATACATGATTAAATTTACACTTTTCCTAAAAAAACAAGTAGGGATCAGATTGGTGAGAAGTAATGTGTCCAAATGTCGTAACATAGCCATTGGGGCGGACACCCAACTCGCATCATAATGGCGAGATCCAACAACTCATCAAATCCCATTCACTGCCTGAAGGATCACGTCCCTCCATTCTTTCTCTCTCTTAGTTATTGCTGCCCAACCCAACCTTTGCTTTACTCCTCTGCGATGCGGGGATCAGGGATTTTTCTTTTTTTTTTTTTCCTCCCTTTCCCATCACTTCTTCTATTCTCATTATTCAAATTTTTTTATTAAATAATTTTTTTAAATAATAAAATTAATAAATAATAAGGATGGGAGAAGTTAAGGAAAATGGAGAGAAAAGAAGTGGAGAGATCCCACTTCCACGATGCCCGGCTCCCTGCTTATTCACTCACTCATTTATTTATTTATTTTATTATTATTTTTTTATCAACTACTTACTACTGCTATTACTCTTCCATTTAATATTATAAAATATTTTTACTTAATTTATGTTCTCAATAAATCAATTAATAAGATTTAAAATTGTACATTTTTTATATTTATTTTTATTTAATAGATTGCTTCAACTAATTTCTTTTAACTGTACTCCTAATTAAAGGTATGTTTTAAAAAAATTATATGAATTATATTTTGAAAGACCCAAAATATTTTATATTTTTTAATATGTTACTTTAAAAAAAATATTTTATAATTCTAAACATAAGGAATATATTTTAGTCCCTCATAAGATATCCATCATCATCATCCACAGAAGATCATGTTATCACTTTTTCATCTAATTTTGTTTGGCCTCCTAGATTTCTAGTCAGCAAGACACTGAGGATTGAAGTGAATACTTGGGGATACAAGATTTCTTCAAGGAATTTATTGCTAGGACCACGAGGAAAATAAAGAGCTTGATCAGAACATTTCGCGGTGCGTGTCAGAACTCAACAGATGGATAAGGAAGAATTAATGAAAATATTTTGAGCAGTGGCCTTTTTGTTTTTTGGCAGGAGGAGTGGTTGTTGATCCATATAACATAAATTAGAACTTTTTGTCCACCAATTTCTTTTACTGATCTGATTTACATTTAAGCTGACTCGAGTCCTAATTATGAGAAATCTTTTTCAATATACTTGTTTTTTGTAAGTTCTTCGTTTGGCAGGCTGCATTTAAGTGTAAGTTACCAATTTAAACACTAGACAGTTAGATCTCTATTTATATTTAGACACTATAATAGACCGTAGTTATCTGTTTTTCAAATTGTCCATGGGTATCCTTTCAAGGAAGACGATGACACTAAATAAGAACAACTCTTTTAATAAAAATTCAAACATTAATTTATTATATAATGTATTAGGCTCTATTACTCATGGGTGTTCATGTTGTTCCAGTCTCAATCAACTTACCTCCTTCTCGATCATGTTAGGATGGATTTACCTTGACTAAAGGAAAAAAAAAAAAAAAACAAGAGGTAGTGGGATAAGGTGCTAAGATGTCCCATCCTATCCCAAATAAATATATATATATATATATATATTATTTTTGTTTATGTTGTATTTTTTGATTTCTTTGCAGAGGAAGATGATGTTTGAATAATAGTTTTTAAAATTGATTTTATATAATCAATTTACCAAATGGAGGATAAATTAGCTTCTACAAAATGTAAGTTGGGAAAATTGGTTGTGTTTAGATAGCTTCAACAAAATGGAGTTTCAGGAACCAAATGAAATTTAGAAAAATTGAGAATATTTGGATGACTTTTTTTAAAACCATGATTTTAAACCCCATAATTGATTATGGAGGAGCATCCAAGAGGTGAATAACCAAAGACTTGATGTGTTTTGCTAAATTATGTAATTCAATGATTCTACTATTGTTACAAATTTTTTTTTAATCTATTTATAAGTTACTTTTAACATTATTCACCGAAACAAAAAACAAATGTTAAAACTCATTAATTTTGTATTAAAAAATTAATAAATTTTTAACTTTATCCTTATTAAATATACATACTTTAATAATATATTTTCTCTTTTCAATATTTAATGAAAGGCAAAAGCAAGAACTTGCAATGAAAATTTAATGATATAACTTATAAATAAAATAAAAAAAATTCTTTCTAGCTTCTCAATAAGACCGAAGGGAGTAAATCATAATATATTATTTGTAGATTCTATATACTTGATTTTAAGTTGTGATTGTCATTCTATAACTCTATAATTGACTTTAAGTTGTATTCACTTTAAATTGTGATTGTTAAAACTTAATAATTGAATTAATACACTTGTATTATTTTAGCTTTGGATTAAACAAATTATATAATTTAATAAATATCCTATAAGTATCTCTATGAATAGTTTTTGAATTTAAAAGCATACCCTAGACTTGATAGACGTTGAAAGCCAACTTAACTAAACTTTCATAAAATAAAGAAATAAATAAATGTTGCCATGCATGCCTCACTTCCACATTGTATCTTCTCTCAGTGAACACCCCTACTTGCAATAGTTCGCTACCTAAATGGTGCAAGACATCGTGAGCCGGTTTACTGTTATGGACAACTCTCACAATCTTTGTTTCAAGATTCACAATCTCTAATTTAGAATATGAATCAGTTAGTTTTAACTGAAAAATTTAAGAGCAAAATAACTAAACCATTTCCCAAGCTGTGTTCTTTCCTTAGCTTGAGGATGAGAGGCCATGAAAATAGAAAAAGGAAGAAGAAGAAGAAGCTCCAGGACATGAGGGAAAAAAAATATATATATCACCACTGCTGTAACATTAAAATTCCTAATTCAAACTAGGACTCAGATGTACAAGAGGATCTGGCAAGGTTATCAAAATCTAAGAAAATTACACATGTATTATCCTTTGTTCTTTGTGTTCTAGCCTCACCCAACAAGAAATTAGCAACCCTTTCTGCAGAATTATCTGCATGTGTGGAGTATCTGTCTCTCACCTGTGCAGTCAAATAACGAATCTGTCAGAACAAACCGATGGAGAGTAGAATCCAATAAATAATGTCTTGAAACAAAAGTTTGTTTGCAGAAAACCTGAAGCACTAGCTGAATTGCCTTCTTCATGCTGATGACATCCCACAAGCCATCACTGTAAATTTTGAAAACACAGCTTCATTGTAAACAGTCAAAACCAAAGACATAAATGCTTTGCAAAAGTTCAATCTAGTGACAATTTGTCGTAAGATAAATTACAAATATCAATTCATACCGTTACAAGTATGGGAGTCTCAATTGCAAAATAATTGGGAGTAACCTATGAAATTCCAATGCTTGATTTGCAACCAAGACTCCCATATTTGCAAGTGTTCAAATTTATATTTGCAACTCATCTTGCTGAAAATTTTTTTGACACCTAACTATTATTAAGTTGATCTTTTGGGAACTAAATACCATTCCCCCTAAAACAATTGCATGTAAATTTTGTCCTCTTGCAAAAATACAGCACGGTCATCTCATCAACTATTTCTATAACATTAACGAAACACAGCTTATGTGCACACGGAAGTACTATAAAAATTAATAAAAGCAACCCCAATTAGGTCTGACAATGCTCAAACCTGACCTGGTAGTATTAAATATCAAATAGCTATATAAAAATGTAATAAAAACATAAATTGGAAGATAATTCACCTAGCTAGAATGGCAAAGGCCCTGCTTGTTTGGTCAATATGCACCACTTGACTTACATAAGGCTCTGAACTAAACCGGGAATCCTTCTGCTTGAGAAATTTGTCCCCAAGCATCCTTGCAAGATTTATACCTGAAATTATTCACAGCCGAGTTATCCACAATCAGTCTGAGCAACAGTCCAGTCAATTTTATAGCTCAGATAAATTTGTTTCTCCATTTTACCATAAAGACGCGTTTCACCATCTTTCAGTGGCTCGCCACTCTCTTCAATTCGGAGTCTTTCAGAATGATTTGCTATCTTATGATCTTCTGTCATCTTGATCTGTTTTCCATTGACACTAACAAGGACAATAAATTGTTCCGTAAGAACATTAGTCACAAGAATTCCAGCCTATCTAACGTCTTAAAGATCCAAAAGCACTTACAAGTAGAACAAGTATGAATGACTACGTCTAAAACTGTAGCAGACGAATACCCTAATACGTTGCAAATCTCATAACCAGAATGCCACAATTGGCACAGTTAATAATTAGACTTTCTGCATTGCAGGTGGATATTTGAGATTTTACAAGAAACATGGAAATCAAAGATACACAGTAAAAAAAAAGATGATATCGGGATTTAAAAACATTGTTGCTTCATGCGGCTTAAGGAAAAATAACCTACAGTGATGAACAGAGAAAACTAACCTCGATTTATAAATACATAGAACAGATGATACAAAAAGTTGAAAAGGGGCTATTTATTGACACTGCATATCGACAAGACATTAGGGATATAATGAATAGTAAAAGATTGTGTGTGTGTGTGTGTGTGGAGATTATACCACAAGCTCTATTCACAATTTTTTCCGAACAAATTCTAGAATCATTGGGTTTTGAAAGGGTTGTTATACCAAATTTATTACCCATCAACGTGATTCATACATTCCAATGCGATGAAAAAAGTTTCTAAACAAAATTCTAACCATACTACTTTTATTCTCATAGCCCAATTGTCATCTAATCTACATTCAAAATTCAACTTTTATCCTAGGCATTGTATATAGTTCAATAAATAATGAAGCATACTTCATAACGCAGGAAGAGTCTCCAACATTTGCACATTGTGCATAGAAATTTTCACCATTACCGGCCCACACCAGTAGCACTGTTGCTGTACATCCCTGCAAAGTGTTTTGAATAAAATATAGTAAAGTGAATCATAATTTTCAAATTACAAAAATTTTAAAGAAGAAATCATTTAATAGCTGCTGTTGTAAGAAGAAAAATATATACTCCCTTCATTCAAAAATATAGGACATTTTTTGAAGGTTTAGATGTTAAAAACTACAAGGTATTTTTAGTATTTCGAGATGTTACTAACGACTTTTTACCGAAAGTGTCCCTAATAAATAAATCACTTTATATTTATTTTAAAATGAAATACCCTATTAAATAGGAAAAAATATAGAAAGATGGTATTAGTTTGAAGACAATTAACTACTTTATTGAGGCTGTAATTCAATTAAAATTGCTTTACGTTTTTGAATGGAGGAAGTATAAATAAAATGGGGATGCTCATGGGTAGCATATGGGTAGATGGTATCAAATTTACTGTGATCGCCATCCCCAAACCCAAACCCTAGCTAGTAACAACCTTAATTCTCATGCTCTTCCCCATGGAATCCTTGAATGCAAGGACCTGCACCTATTTACCCAGAGCAATATTTATCTCAAGCTAAATCTTATCTCTTTAACACTTACTCATATGAAATCACAAAAAAAGGTCTCAACCCTTACTATTATCCAAACACACAATCATCATAACTTGAAATTATCTAATACGCCAACCAACCCCCCTCAATCTGGTCCTAAGTCCATTTTTCTATCCCCAAACCTGAACCTGGATGGGTGGTTGGACATACTCGTGTGAATTTTGTTCATCCATCATATAAGGCGGGGAAAAATTAAAATTTGCAATTTTTATTTAAGTGAAAAATTAGAATTACAAGTGATAGTGACTTAAATATGAAGAAAGCACCATCACATGGTAGGTTTATTAAGTTCCAGGCTTCTGTTGGGACTGGATCCCTGTTACAGTACTTTCAAACAATGTATGTTCATAGGTTCATGTGTAAGATAAACACTCAACAACAAAATAAAGGTAAAATATGAGGGACAAACAAAAAGAAAACAAATTTTTTAGCATGGCTTCTATGAATTTACACTCCCTGGTAAAAGGGAAAACCCAAAATTTTTGTGACATACTTGTACAACGATCCACTGCAATTAAGAGCCTTCATTGACCACAAGGAATCCATATTGAAAGATCCAAGCTACACAGAATTTCTTTTAAGGAAATATAATACAAGCAACTTAAAAAGTCTTAATCTATGCTGATCGTAATCAATTACTTATCCAACCAAAAGATAGCACTACGAAGCTCAGTCAGCCACAAGGATTTCACTAATACGTCTCCTCCTTCAAAAAGAGCTTTGGATTCTCAAGCCCACACCAAAAGAAAAAACACCTAAAAGCTTCAGCTTCTCCCTTTTCTAATATTGCCATAAGGACATACACAGTATCGTGCAAAGAGTCCAAGAACAAAGCATAAATATTAGGGAGATTACAAGCATCTTTATGATGGAAAAATGCCTTGTGAGCATACAAACTTGCACTAACAAATATTATCTCAATCATGTCTTGTGTAGTTCCATCAAAACAAGGAATAAAGAAAATGCTCATATTTGTGGTCAAATCGCCACCACCCTTATTCTTTTCTTTTCCGTTTTTTTTTCCAGAAACAAGCATATTCCAGGAGATGCTAGCGTACAAAAGAATTAAATTATTTTCTTGGCTGAAAAAGTGATTCAAAGAATTAAATTTAAACTAATAAGTCGAGCAGCTAACTTTACACTAAATAAGTACACCACAACACTAGATCATTGAATACCTCATAATGGTGATTCATGCTTGCTTCTGTTTGAGAAAACGCATCTCTAAGAACATCTGATGCATCATGTAGCGATAAAACCCTCTCTCTTTTTAATGAATCTGATAATATGCTTGCAACTATCTCAGGAAAAAGTCTGAAAAAAATTGCAGAAAAATCAGTTAAGTTCCATAGAGTAAGTGCCTGTTTGGATTGCCTCATTAATCAATTTTTGAGGCAAAAAATCAATTAATGTGAAAAGTTAGCCAAACAGTCAAAAATGATAAAAAATCGATTATGAGTCAGGACGCGTGTTTTTTTCGGAAGCTCCCTCCATCAGCTTTTCCGGAAAGTTTATCAAAAAGCGTTGGGAAAAATTACAAAGAAAGGCCCAAGAAAAAATTACAAAAAAAGCACATAATTTAATAAAAATAAAATTAAACTCTCTTCTTTTCCCTTTTTTTTAATAAAATTTAAACTTTATATATTCAAAAAATTAATATTTGGTATTTAAAAATTAAATTATATAGTAATTTATATAATTAAAAATTAATTCTGATTAAATTATCCAAACATCTTCAATTCTGTTAAAATCAATTTTAGAAAAATAGTATCCAAACAGATTGTGTTATAACATAATCAATTATGATTAAAATTTACCACTTAATCAATTATTTTCATAATCTATTATACCCAACTGAAATCCAAACGGACCCTAAGAAGTAGAAAAAATTTAAGTGAGTTGGTAAAATATTCAAGATCATTAATAAGAGAAGGTTGTTGGCATTTTGACCCCTAAAGATCACTGTTGAGAAATCCTTTTTATAAGTCAATTTTCTTCCACAAATAGCAATTATTCTTAAGTGCACATATCCCAATAGATTCAAAGTAATTCGTTTTGTTATGAAAATAGAATCACAAGACTGGAGCACTGAAGCAAAACAGCAGACAGTTTATCACATCCACAAGAAGGGACTCTGCATGATCAGCTTTAGTGTTTGAACTGTGATATTTTGCCATTACAATCTACATAGGTTGAGACGGTATAAATCAATTCTTTCACTTAGTACATGGAAAAAAGTATCAGGCATGATAGAAGCCTCAATGTCCAATATTGCCATTACATGATTAGCACACGATAGATCACAGTACAGCACAATAAGTTACAGCAGACCAGGGATACTGCATGTTCAAATGACAACATGCATGACAACATGGCAGTGTAGGTAATAAGTTAATGGAGTCAGTCTAAATCTTAATATAAAAAAAAAAAAAAACACACACACACACACCCACAATGTAACTCATATGATCAATGAATGTATAAATACACTGAAACAACATAGACCTGTATGGTATAAATGATTCATGTCATGGAATCATGCGTGACAAAAATTGAAACACATGACATTATAACAGTATAAGACCAATGGATGAAGGCCCAAGGTAATTCAAATGAACCATTGATAAATCATATTGTTTCTTATCTATTGAATAATATCCAAAAACACACGATTATGATGCTTATTTTAACAGAGACCACAGACCTTAAAAGATGGGTGGCAATAGAACTTCAATGAATTAAAATATAAGTTTCATGAAAGCATAATAAATCACGAAGATGGCAAAACTAAATCAAAAAATACTAACTTGCTAGCAGATTTAGCAGCCCCATCTCCACCATGTCCATCACAGATGCCAAATAGTCCAAACTGCATGTTAGTGTTAGTTATAGGTGCGTTAGCTTCATAAAGAAAGTGCTAAAGGAAACAACAGAATGGTCCTTGGTTGAATGGGAGCAATGAAGTCCAGCACCTGATCCAGCCCAGGAAGAGGCCATTGATAATAGCAGACATCTTCCATAGGTAGCTTTTTCCCTCCTCGGCGTAAAGACATGGGATCTGATGCCATACCTACTCCAAATGGAATTTGCTGCCTACTTTGAGAAGAAATACGGACCTGCCAAACATTAACATCAAATAGTTTAAACAAGTGCACTAGTATAGTCTTAAAAGAAGAAAACCCTTTCTTAAAAAAAAAAAAAAAAAAAGAATTCATGATATGATAACATAAAAAACTAACCCCTACAGGGTAATTCCTAGAAGCACCATGGGTTGAAAATGGATAAAAGCAATCAGATCACTTAAAATTTAATTCTAACAGAGATTTTGGTAATATCATCTAGGGAGCATTTTTTCTCCACGGTAATGGAATATCACCTTTCCCTTTTAATTGAAACCAAAAGTACGTATTTCTTATTTTCTTTCTCCAAATATGAGTTATAAAAATAATAGTTTTAAAAAAATTGAAGAGGTAGAAAAAAGAAAAACTACATTTCTGATTTAAAGTAAGCTAGTTTATAAAGATGTCACAATAACCTATTCTATATATCAGTAACATTTTCAACCTACATCAATCCAACATCAAGCAAACATGGATAAGTTTTGCATCTACAATAAGCAAACTGCGAAAGGAACCACCTGTTTAACTGGAGTCCAAAGGCTCATTACTTACAACAACTTTTGATGTTGTTCCAAGAGTTATAATATCTCCATTGGCAAGCTCATGTGGCTCACCCCAGCGCCTGTTGCTAGTGTCAGGATGGTTGATTGACCGAGAATTCAGAAGTGTTCCATTCAGGCTACCCATATCTACCAACTCCCATTTCAATTTCTGAAATTAATAGCAGTTCTATAATAATTGCTGCATAACATGACTTATAAAATCCAGATCCAAGTCCATTAGAAAAAACAAGGTTTACATCTAAATTCCAATTTATTAGAGCATGCTTTCCTGACACTTCTGAATCCTTTATCAACAAATCACTTGGAGAAACTCTTCCAATTGTCAGTGGTAGATGAGAGGGATTTGTTGATTGTACAGAACAACGAACGCCACAAGAAGGACCACTGATAACCTCCAGGGTGAGGCAACTTCCTGCAATTCTAACAGAAAGGTATGATGACATGCTCACTTACTAAGCCTTTGCAAATACATAAAACAATCAATCCCTTCATAACAAAGCTTTAAGAAATTACTTTGATCTAAGATATCTCTTTGCACAGTGTCTTCCAATCTATCCTCTTCAAAAGTCACTCTAGTATGCTTTTGAATTTCAGCTAACTGGTCTGGGGCAAGCTTGAGTGTTTGACCAAGCGCAACTTCTTCTGGAGCATCAGAAGGTACATCTAAAATCAAGCTATCACCTGAAACAGTTAAAGGACAGCATTATGACTACACAAAGCAGAACAGTAGATAAAATCAAAATAAAAGAAAGCAGGTTGACTGAAAATTGGCAGTAGTCCATGAAATACCTTGTGGCACATCAGGAGAAGAAGCAGGGAGCCTTTGCTTATAAATACGTCCATGTGGTTGAGGTGAGCGAAAAGGACCCTCATTGGAAAAGCACGCACCCTCAAGATCATACTCTCGGGGCAATTCATTGCTCTGACTACGTAAAGCACTTGCATCGTCTGCAACTAAGGGCCTCTCTATGTCACCATCCTAGTAGAATTAACAAAGAGTTGCTTGAAAGCATAAGCTAAATTGACATATAAAAAAATTATAACAAGTGTATAAGGTGTATAATATTATTCATAAATGAAAATAAAGAGAAGTAGTTAAATTAACAGAGTAGGGATATCATGTCAAGTCCTTGCAATGCATTCTTGACAGGTAAAACACAAGCCTTGAAAAACTTCAGCAAGTAAAGGACATGGATATTCTTTTAACTGTATCAGGCCCCCAACAGAAAAGTGACCAAGTCATTTTCCTATGACTATGAACTCCTAATACAAAATGTTTCTTTCGAACCCCATCCTCTCTTGCAGGCTTGCAGCACTGATCGATTCGTAATAGATAAAATTAAAATTAAAATTATATTGGTAACACCATAAAATTACGACAAGAAATGTTTGGAATTCTTGACACAATTACATAAACTACGACTACGCCATAGGAGAGAAGTAAATGGAGCCTGAATTTTGGTGCTTGGCTATGACAGTTCTATAAAGCTAAAAGCCGAAAAGTTAGTCTTTTTCCAATCGATCAAACCCGAATTGCCGGAATGCTTCAACTTTACAAGCTGAATAAAAACAAATAAGAAACAAGAGCAAAAACAACCCCAGATCAATGTTGAATCAAGCCATATTTGGAATCCATAATTTCGCACCCATCACTTCAAAGGTCTCACATCCAACTTGATGCACTAGTACGAAACTGAAAGAAAATACGGGAAAAAATAAACCTTCAAGAAGCAATTTCTTTCTACGAAACTCGCAGAACCAGCTCAAATCAACCTTCCTCCAAACCGGTTGGAGAAAAGAAAAATCCTAAGAACACGTCGACCGCCATAGAACATAACAGAACTTCCAAATGCTGATTTAGATCCCTCAGAAATTCCCCGAAACCAAAAAGAGCGTTACAGACAGAGTATCAGTGTCATTTAACAGATATCTTCGACGCCCAATTGTTCGGAGGAACGAAAACATAAAATGATGCGCATATTGAAAGGCAAAAAGAAACAAAGAAGTTGTACCTTGATGGATAAGCGGGGTTGCGAAGAGAAAAAGAAGCGCCATGGTTTGCAGGCAAAAATGATGAGGACGATGATCAGAAGAAGCATAAGGAGAATAAAGAGAATGACAATGCCGGCTACCATCGCGATCTTCTCCGTTCTCTCTCTTCTCGTCAGAAGAGAGTAGAGATTGGATTCGGGTTTGCGAAAAGCACGCTTTGAAATGGTCGCACTCGGTTCATTTCTTGTCGTCACGCGTCCATATTATTAACTTCAATTTGTTTTGTTATTACGCTCCAGCAAGAAAAATGTTCTAATTTTCTTAATAATTCTCAAATTTATATTTTAAAATCGTTTTTATTTATTTAGTGAGCATCACTTGCAAAAAAAAAAAAGAAAAGAAAAGAAAACGCAACAACTCTTTTACATTACATTTTGAATATTTGTACAATGTACGATATCTTTTTTAATTTTTATTCTTTAATCCCTGAATAACAGTGGAATATGGCTCCATTTGTTTTTTGCCCCAACAATTGCCAGCTCTAGTTTAAAAAAAGAGACAGAAATGAATCGTTTTTTGGCCAAATAAATATATATAATATATAATAACTATATTTATTTCCTGTGTAATGCACGAAATATCTTAACATTTAAAAAGTAAAAATAAAATAGAAATATAAAAGTTAAAAAATAATATATTTGAATCTACTAAGAATTAGAGTTTGTTATTTATTTAAATTAAATTTAAATAACAACTTATTTTATTTTAAATTTTAGTTTTCATGTACATATTAAAGATACAAATAATAACTTATTTTATTTCAAATATATTGTTCTTAGGATTAATATGCTAGTTTTTTATGTTTGTGCTCTTTTTGTAATCAATATGAGAAAAAAATTGAAATTAAATTAAAAATAATTTTATTATTAACTACTGCCTTGTATAATTAATTTTTTACTAGTCCTCATATAATTAATTGAAGAATATAATTTATCTCCCAAAAAATATTATTAGATCTATCATTTGTTACTCTTATAAATTAAAATCTAAATACCAACTTCACATTTGTTATGTTTTACTCTCATGCATAATAAAAAATATAAACACTTTTTAAATTTCTCACCTCTTTCAAATTAAAATAAAATTTGCTTAATTTCATTTAGAATATGTTGGCCCATTCATCGCCCTAAAAAATAAAAAATAAAAAAAATGCACTATAATAAACCATATACAATAATTTATGTCATAATAATATTTATAAATTATAATTATAGCTAAAATTAAAAAATATATACTATAATTAGCCATAAAGATAAACTTATTTTATCTCAACACAACTTATTTTTTTATATTACCTTGTACATATAACAAATACAAATAATAATTTGACATCCTTCACTGTATTATTCTCGCATAAATTAAAATTTAAAAAAATAACTTTTTAAATTTATAATTTTTCCCACGTATATGTTATTATCATAAATAAAATATATACCCTTGTATATTAAAAATCTACACATAAACATTTGTTTCCCTGTACATATTAAAAGTATAAAGAATAATTTTTATTATTCCATTGAATTTAAATATGTATTTATTGAAAACATAAGTGTACATTAAAAATCTATATATTAAAATTTTTTTACCCTGTGTATATTAAAAGTATAAAAAATAAGTGTAGAAATTTTTTTTACAATTAGATTTTTAGTGATTAATTTGTGATTGCATAGTTTTAGCTGTGGACTTATTTATTTGAAAAAAAAAAATTCTTGATCTATACGGCTGTGTATAGATTTCACAAATTAGCATGTGGGTTTTAAATTTGATATTCTTCAGAATTTTTTTACTATATTTTATTCTCAAAACACATCATTCACTGCACAAAATTGGACAAGATTATTTTGAAACCACATAACGATTTACAAAATTAAACTAAAAATTATGGACTACATAAATTCTAAATTCCAATATTTCATAGCCTTTATTATATGTAAATATACACTAGATCTCTTTTTCTATTTGCTTATGGGATTGAGCATTTTCAGATCGGAGAATAAAATGGATGCAATTGAAGGGAGGGATATTCTAATGAAACTTCCTTTCAGTCCTGATACAGCAAGCCCCAAGATCTTGTGTTTATTAGTTTATTAACAAATACTCATTCCGTCTCAAATTATAAGACACTTTTAAAAAAAATTTCATCCCAAGATATAATACATTTTAAATAGATTAAAATTTTATTAAATGAACAAATTTTAATATCACCACTTCTCTCTCTATAATTAATTTTCATCAATTTTTTTTATTATATTAAATTATGGGCATTTTGAAAAGTTTATATTTTTATTTTAAAAAAATATGATTATTAAATATATTTAATGAGATTTATTGATGTGTAAAATTTTATACCAAAGTGATTTATAATTTAAAATAAAAAAAGTATTAATTATTAATAGTTCGTGTTAATATAGGTTCAGATGTCAGAAATGCCCAGAATCCCATAATTTGAAAAAAATTTCATCTAAGTATTTTCTACCTTTTTTTTTTATTCGGCTTTTTGGGGGAACTGCATCTCATAGCTCTTCTGTGGGTCTGTCTTTATGGGACTGTTTTGTTTAGTTGGGCTTGAACTTTAGGCCTAATGTCCAGGCCTCATAAATGAAAATACGCTAGAGATAATTCTGGTTGGTATTTTTGCTTAAAATAGCATATACCATTTTCTCTGGAGTAAAAATTTATTTGGAACCTAATAAAGTATAATCTCTCAAATCCTAAATATATGCCCTAGTTTGTCCAAATATATATATATATATATGGCCTAGTTGAGGGATTTATTTTGGTGCTAAATATAGGACCTCAATTTCTTTGGGTCCCCTATTTAATTTTTTCCCTAAATTACTCTCATTAATTTCATAATTTTTCTCACTCCCTTCTCCTCCCATAGGCTTTCTCTATCTTTCTCTCTCTGGAGTTATTTTAAGAAAAATGAAACATATTTTTACGCAATAATAGCAAAAAAATTAACTTAATCAATTTCTTTAATCTCGTGGATTTGTTAACTAATATATTATATTTGGGACCATGGATAGTATTATTATTTCATACACGCTTTATAGAATTAATTTTTAATTTATCCATTGAGAATAAAATAATTTTTAATTTTTATTTCACTTACTGATATTTCTCAATGTAGTCATTTATAAATAAAATTATTATTTATAATATTTGTTGATTGTATCAATCTTCTAATAATTTTATTTACATTAGATTGATATTTATATTCGATAGGATGAAATTAGAAAAACAAGACAAATGCAACTCTAGATATGAGGGGTTATTTTAAAAAAAAAACTATGAAAAATAAAAAATATCAGTAGTTAAATATAAACATGATTTATTTATAAACAACAAACTGAAATAAAAATTTGGCCTAACAGAGAAAACAGAGATGAGAAACAATCATCTGGCATACTTTTACTTGTTTAACATTAAAGTTTAATTTGTTCTCTTTTATTTATTTATTTATTTATTTATTTATTTATTTTTGAGATATGGTGGTTTGGACGGTGATAGTTCTTGAATGGTCAAGGCCAGGTTATTATGACAATGATGACGACGACGACTTTGCATTTGAAATTAAATTATAATATATTAATTGGAAAAGCTTAAGGATGATTTTATTGGCAAATGGTGATTGTTGGTGAAGAAATTAATTTGTTCTTTTTCTGTTTTTTTTTTTTTTTTTGTGATATGGTGGTTTGGAAAGTGATAGTTCTTGAATGGTCAAGGCCAGGTTATTATAACAATGATAATGATGATGACTTTGCATTTGAGATTAAATTATAATATATTGGTTGGAAAAGCTTGAGGATGATATTATTGGCAAATGGTAATTGTTAGAGAAGAAATTAAGGGTGGTCGGAATTATAATTGTGCTTCCAAAACAAGATCATGAAGGTGGTTGAGCACAATAATTCCATATCCCTCATTCAGTCAAATTGCAGGGAGTATATTTTCTTTGCTGAAATTGTTGATAGGGTTTGGTGGAATAATCTTATTAAAAATAGCATATGCTAATGGGGGTTGGATTTAAAAAAAAAAAGGGTTAATTCCTTACAATGTGGCAAATCAAGATTTAAATTTTCAATAAAAAAAAGGTGCTTATATTTAATACCCAACCATACTTCGAACATTATTGCTTCCAATAGAAAGATACATATAAGTAATTAAAAAAAAGATGTGATACACTGAAATCATATTAGTATACAAATCTATTGAAATAGGCTCTACATATTTGCATGGAAATATTTTTTATATTTCATATCAATATGTTGATAATTGATGATTAGCTACTACCATAGATGACATGAGTCTAATGTGCCAATGGAAAACTTTACATAACCTAACTAAGTTAGAGGAGTTAGACTACGTGTAGCATGGCCCAAGGAGTGAAAGCGATGTGCTTGGAGGAGTCAATGTCCAAAGGTACAAGCCTATTGTGTCTAAAAATCCACTATCAAGTTATGGAAGCCTAGTGATAATAGACCAATCCATCATATGGTAGTAGCTCTTTCTATATAATAATACTATATGTGTCACAAGCCCAACATAGTGAAGAGCTCTTTCTATTTTTTGTTAATGAGGAGTCTAAAGACTAATTAAATTAAGGGCCTCGTTGTGAAGTATAAGTTAATTCGAGTTTGAGTCATGATAGATCAGGAAATTAAGTCCATTAATGATGCAAAACATGTTAGAAAAAGCCTAGTATGGTAAGAAATCATGCCCATGTGTCCAACCCATCAAAACAAAGGAGATTTTTAACTCACCATGTGGTGTTGAATTTTACAAGATTTGAAGCAATAATGGCATGATACCTAGCTCAAATTGAAAATTTACTTGATTGATTAGAATTTGACTTCCTACATGATCTCCTAATTGATTTAAGATCTTATTTGTTCCCTTCATTGTTGATTCAAGACTATCTAGTTTCCTATTTCATGTTTTCATTAATTAGAAAGATTAAGTCTTACATTTAGTTTCCTATTTTATTCTAGTCAATATTGTCTTTAATATTTTAGGAAGTTTTAGTTATTGTGATATCATAATTTAAGGAAATACAATTCCTAAAATCATGTGGCCAAATATTTTATCTATATTCTCATAACTAGAAAGATTGAGTCTTGCCTTTGCCTATAATGGGTGTGCCTTCATGTCTTGTAACCTAAGATTTATCA